CAACAGACAAACCTTGATAACAAAAGCAACCAGAGCCTTTGGCTCAAATGAGCTAAGAATTCACCACTTATGATTTATCTAATAAAAAACTAAGGCAATAAGACTCGTTTATTCTTACTTTTGTTTCCATACAGAGGATTCCAAGACAACTTGGATAAAATATGGAGCATCTTAACTGGCTAACAAGCTGTATCCCGAACTGTCCCATAATTTTGGTGCCGACTAGCTCTTTTATATCTGTTGTATCTTGATTAACTGGAGCATCTTGTACCTAAAATTAATGAATAAAAAGTGGAAGAAAACGTACTAAAACATATTGGTCTGTGTTATTAACAACACTTGACAGTGCTTAGATGATGAAAATTTAAATATATTTAGCTATCAATTTTTGTATCAAGTTCCATGAATTTTTTCAAGAAAATTCCTTTACAGGCAGTTAAATTGTTTCCATGAAATTTAATAATAAAATTAATAAGGTTTATTATTATCATTTTATTAATTTATAAAGCGCAAAATTACATATAGTTTCTATGCGCTGTACAATGTTTTTGCTAACATTCAATGACAATATATCAACAAAAGACCTATCAGGGCTATGATAAAATGATTATGGAAAATAAATGATCAATAAAACAAAGAAAGACCTTAAATAAAACATGGTAGTAAGATGAAAATTGGTTAACTTAGAATAAGCAAGATAAAAAATAAAAACTGAAATGCAAATAGTTATTCATATGATAGTACAGGGCTAAAGTGAGTTTGCGAGAGATTACACATGGGGTCCTTGATTTTGTGTTAGAATTTTACATACACAGGGCATATTCACGCTTGAACAAGAGTGTTTTTAGGTTCTTGTGGAATGCTCCATGTGCTTCAAGCTCTCGAAGTTCTAATGGCAGGTTATTCCACAATTCTGCACCTAATGTGCTTATGGCTCTTGCACCGTATTTGTTTAATGATTTCTTTACTATCAGTTTCCATTTGTCAGATGATGATCTCAAGGTCCTATGTGGCTTGTAAAACATAACTCTCTCATATATGGTTGTGCTGAGGAGGAGTGCAGTGACTTGTAAATGGTTGTTAGCACTTTAAACACAACACCTTGTTTTACAGGCAGCCAGTGGAGTTGTTGAAGTACCGGCATGATATGTTGTCTATAGCATGTTGTTGTGAGACAACGTGCAGCGATGTTCTGAGCCACTTGTAACTGGTGCATGGTCCGATCGGTTACGCCAAGCAGAAGGGCATTGTGATAGTCAAGGTGGGATATGACTGTTGCATTGATGACCTTTGCGCATGCTTCCTGGGTGAGATGTTGTTTCACCTTGGAGATTCTCCTAATGTTGAAGTACATCTTTCTTACCTTGGAGCTGACTTGTGTTTATATTGATAAGGTGGCGTCCAGGGCAGCACAGAGGTTTTTTACAGTAGACTTAGATGTCACTATTGCCTCACCAATCTTCAGGCCGAGATCCTTCACACAGTACTGTTTATGACTTGTGTGCAAAAATAAACAGGACATGTGTGCCACTAATAACACACATATTTTCTCCATAGATCTGTGTGTGACAGCAACAATAACACAGGAAATGTCTACTCCATACACCCATGTGTGACAATAGCACAGCAATCATGAGCAACAATAAGAAATTAAATATTTACTCCATAGATCTGTGTGTGACAATAGCACAGCACACAAGTGCAACAATAACGCAGCAAATGTTTACTTTGTGCAACAATAACACAGCACACACATGATACAATAACACTGCAAATGTTTACTCCATTGACCTGTCTGTGACAATAGCACAGCACACATGTGAAACAATAACACAGCAAATCTTTACTTCATAGATCTGTGTATGACAATAGCACAGCACACACATGATACAATAACTTAACAAATGTTTACTCCACACACCTGTGTGCAACAATAGCACAGCACTTCAGTGCAACAATAACACAGCAAATGTTTACTCTATAGACCTGCGTGTGACAATAGCACAGCACACACGTGCAACAATAACACATTAATTGTTTACTCTATAGACCTGTATGACAACAGCATAGCATACATGTTCAACAATAACACATCCAATGTTTACTCGATAGACCTGTGTTCAACAATAACACAGCACACACGTGCAACACAATGCAGCAAATGATTACTCCACAGGCCTGTGTGTGACAATAGCACAGCACGTGTAACAACAACTCAGCAAATTTTAACCCCACAGATGTGTGTCACTACCATATAAAGGGCATTTTGGGGGGTGGAAATTTTTGTGATTTGACCCATGAAAGGTAGCAAATTAATTTCTGCATTTTCAATTTCTGTGGTTGCATTATGCAGCAAAAATTATTTAAAGAATAGAACACCAAATTCTAAGGATTTGGCAAAATACTGACAATCACATGTAAACACTTTACAAATTCATTTATTTAAAGACATGATGATCAAAGATGAGAGAACTGATACTAAGTTCTACTATCTTTTAGTTAGTCTTCGTAAACTTTTTTCAAAACCTTTTTAAGAAGTTATGAAAAAAACATTAAACCAGGTTGACTGACATATGCAAATCTTATCAGATTTGCATGTATAAAATATCTGAATTAATAGTGAAGTAATTTGCGATTGCAATTTTTGTGGATTTGTCCTACCTGCAAAATTTTGCAAAAATTGGACAGACGCAGAAAAAATACCTGTTAAATGGTATTTCGAATTCATAACATGTTTTAATGTACACTATAGACATGTGTGCTGCAGAGAGTTTAAAAAGCTTTTTTTATCAGTCACACTTAAATCACTTAACACTTTTTGTTTTAAAGACATGTTACCTTGACATTGTAGAGACATGTTACCTTGACATTGTATAGAGACATCTTATCTTGACCTTGTATAGAGATAAGTTACCTTGACTTTGTATAGAGACATGTTACCTTGACATTTTATAGAAACATCTTACCTTGACATTGTATAGAGATAGGTTACCTTGACATTGTATAGAGACATGTTACCTTGACTTTGTATAGAGACATGTTACCTTGACATTGTATAGGGACATGTTACCTTGACATTGTATAGAGGCATGTTACCTTGACATTGTATAGAGACATGTTACCTTGACATTGTATAAAGACATGTTACCTTGACATTGTAGAGACATGTTACCTTGACATTGTATAGAGACATCTTATCTTGACCTTGTATAGAGATAAGTTACCTTGACTTTGTATAGAGACATGTTACCTTGACATTTTATAGAAACATCTTACTTTGACATTGTATAGAGATAGGTTACCTTGACATTGTATAGAGACATGTTACCTTGACATTGTATAGACATGTTACATTGACATTGTATAGAGACATGTTACATTGACATTGCATACTGTATAGAGACTTGTTACCTTGACATTGTATAGAGACTTGTTACCTTGACATTGTACATAGAAATGTTACCTTGACCTTGTATAGAGACATGTTACCTTGACATTGTATAGAGAAATGTTACCTTGACATTGTATAGAGACATGTTACATTGACATTGCATACTGTATAGAGACATGTTACTTTGACCTTGTATAGAGACATGTTACCTTGACCTTGTATAGAGACATGTTACCTTGAACTTGTATAGAGACATGTTACCCTGAACTTGTACAAGTCCCTTGAATAAGGGGGATGGCAAATCCTCTGGTAGTAAATACCTTTTAGGTTAAATATAAGCCTCCAATGTTTCTTTGATAGAAAAATATTCCATAGTGATTAGGGCTCAACATTAATGAATATACCGACTTGTCTATCGGACGAGTTGGAAACTAAAGTTACTTGTCTGAATTATTGATTACTTGTCTGACTCTGAAAGAATATAGTTAAAAAAAATTGTAGAATTATTCTCCAAAATGAAGTAGTTATAATTGATATTGACCTAAATGATTTGTTTAAACATGAAATAATAACAAAAACCTAATTAATCTAAAATATAGTACATAGCACTGTCTAGTGATCATGCAGTATCGATCACTCTCGTCTGTTAATGATACTAGTATCTGGTGATGTGTGACAGAACCACAAAGATTGTATTTTAATGTTTGTGATTAAAAAATATGAGCATTAGATAAATTTTGGGTTTTTTTTAAATAGTATCAACAATATGCCATAATGGTACAAAAAGTAACTTGTCCGATCAGACAGGTGTGTATGGAGACTGACTTCTCCGACCACAAGATGAACTGAACATGGACAATTGGACAAATGTTAGTGTTGAGCCCTGACCCCTAAACCATAAACTAAGTACAGACTTAAGTCAAAATTTCAATCCAACTTTAAAAATAATATTGATAATGAAACAAAATTTTCGTCATATATTTGCATTTAAATATAATAAAAAAAATTGAAAATGTTTAAGCAAATATGTTAAACAGAACTTGAGATATTAAAAATCAAACTTTTGACTTAAGTATGTTCTCAGTTTATGGTCTTGAGGCCTGGTGATTCATATATACCTCTACAACCTTTTTTTTGGGGGGGGGGGGGGGGGGGGGGGGATTTTAAATTTAATACATGAATAATTTAATTCTGGTTGAAACGCTGTATTTGATTGGATAAAAAATTTACTTTATATCGTATAAAATGGGTTGCCTACGTCACAATGACTTGTGTCGAAAACGTATCGATCCGCCTGAGGTTACATTTAAATTTTGTACAAATTGAAGTCATTTTTAAGACAATCATCTTTTTTTCTTACACTAAATGAATGAAAATTAAATTATAAGGAATGAAATTAATAGCTACCCAATTTATACGCTATAAAGTGGGTTGGAACAGTTTACGCTTTTTTATAAACCGCTTCGCGGTTTATAAAGCGTAAACTGCCCCAACCCACTTTATACCGTATAAAATGGGTAGCTATTAATTTCATTCCTTAAATAAATTGAGGCCACTTTCAGAATTGACAGCTATAAACTACTGTATATCTAATCATACTCACCCTTCACTTAAAAAGAAGATCTTTCCAAACACTTTAAAATAATTCTGGAAATAATTTTTGTCTGGCCATCCCTCATTTTGCTTTGATGAAGATACAGGCTCTTTCAATACCAGTTTAAGCAGTAATTCAGTCTCCCGTGCAAACCGTCTTCAGGCTGAATTAAACAATACAGCAACCTCCAGAGCAGACTTCCCCACAGCAGAATCCAATGCTCTACAAAATCTGAACAAAGAAAAAGTATTACATCTAACTTTTTTTTCTTCTTACCTCCTATTTATTTTTATTTTTCTTCACTAAAGGGATTTCATTAAATGGAAAAAAATTATAGCACCATACATGTATGTAGAAAATCTACCAGCCAACTTTTCCTTTTGACTGATGCAGAAGCAATAAAATTATAACTTAGGCCTAGATAAATAAATATTCCAACCTGGAAAAAAGAGGGTATTTAAGTAAAAAAATCTTTTTATTTTAGCTTTTTTATTATCTATTTGAGACAATAAACAGCATTATTTTATAAAAGAAACAATATTCACTTCTTTTCCCCAAAACGATGGCTTATGCTGCCATTTTCCCAGGGGCAATTGCTGACAAGTATAGGATTTTGTGTTGTCTAAAAGACACTCGACACAAAGTTTGTTTATTTATTTGTTTGTTGTTTAACGTCCCTCTTATTTGTTTGTTGTTTAACGTCCCTCTCGAAAATTTTTCACTCATATGGAGACACCACCACTTGCCAGTGGAGACCTGCAAATATTGACCTATGCTCAGCACTTAGGGCCATTGAGCAGAGATGGATCTTTTTCATGCCAGCACCTACTGCGACACAGAGCCTTGGTTTATATGGTCTCATCTGAAGGACAGGTCTCCATGTCCCAGTGCTGAGATGTTCATTTTATATTTTCTATTGCTGTGGCAGAAAACAATACAAATATATGTAAATGTATCAATTTATTAAATTGTACAGCTTTATCTTGATACATGTGATATTGCATGATCATATTGTGATACACATTGTATCATCAGGTAGTTTGCGATACTCAGGCCTAGCTTAGGACATGATTTGTAAAAACGGTAAATACTGCATAGTTAAGCATTTCAAATATTGACTTTTTAGCCCAGTGGTTCCTAAGAAGATGTTAAAATGACCCTATTGTATATGTCTTTTTTGATTTTCTCCATTGGGAAGGGACATGAACCTTCAATTGAGGAAATCTGAATTCCTTCACACATGGGTACTTTGTACTAAGTACCAAGTTTTGTTGAAATTGGAACACTAGCTCTGGGAAAGAAGATAAATATGTGAGCAGTTAATGACGATGTCGACAGAGAACAAAAAATTTCCAAACTTGATATTACAATTACTTATCAGCCAAGGTTAAAGTCTGATCAAATTTTGTACAAGTGAGTCAAACTGCAAGGTAAAGATCTCAAGGTCAAATATGTTGGTACCCAAAGAAAGGTCTTGTTACAAGGAATACACCTGTGAAAAATGAAATCCATAGCTCTATCCAATAAAAAGTTATGGGCAAGGTTAAAGTATTTGCATACAAATAAACAAACAGATAACTAGAAAGCCAGACAGATGGACAAAGCAAAAACCATTTGCCCTGAATCTTTGATTATGGGGCATAAACAAGAGGCCCATGGGCCACAGCGCTCACCTGAGTAACTTTGGCCTTGCTGTTTTTCACCTGATTTCTCCCCCCCCCCCCCCCCCGTAGTACTTATTGTGGCCCCGCCCTATCCCCAGGGGTCATGATTTGAACAATTAGAATCTACACTACCCCAGGATGCTTCCAAGTAAGTTTCAGCTTATCTGGCCTAGTGGTTCTTGAGAAGAAGAATTTTAAAAGATTTTTCTTATTAATTTCAATGTACAACTTGGACTCCCTCTTGTGGCCCCGCCCTACCCCCGGGGGTCATGATTTGAACAATTAGAATCTACACTACCCCAGGATGCTTCCAAGTAAGTTTCAGCTTATCTGGCCAAGTGGTTCTTGAGAAGAAGATTTTTAAAGATTTTTCCTATATATTTCTATGTAAAACATTGATTCCCTATTGTGGCCCCGCCCTACCCCCGGGGGTCATGCTTTGTACAATTTAGAATCTACACTACCCCAGGATGCTTCCAAATAAGTTTCAGCTTTACTGGCCCTGTGGTTCTTGAGAAGAAGATTTTTTAATGACCCCACCCTATTTTTGTCTTCTCTTGATTATCTCCCCTTGTGAGGGGACTTGGCCCTTCATTTTAATAATTTAAATTCCCCTTCACCAAAGGATGCTTTGTACCAAGTTTGGTCAAAATTGGCCCAGTGGTTCTTGAGAAGAAGTTAAAAATGTGAAAAGTTTACAGACGGACGGACAGACAGACAGACAGATGGACAGACAGACGGACAGACGGACGGACGGACGACGGACAAAATGTGATCAGAAAAGCTCACTTGAGCCTTCGGCTCAGGTGAGCTAAAAACTTTGATCTTGATAAGAAAAACTGACTTTGAAACAAGTATCCAATAACTTACTCATTCTTAGAATCAAATTCTGATGAATTTTCCTGCATCCTTTCGATGTCTTCATTTATCTTCCTAGATATTTTCTCTCTCGCCTCTATTACGTCTTTAGCTGAAGCACACCTAATGTCTTGGAGATCTCCCAGATCATATGAAAATGTCAAATCTTCTTCAAGTTGTCTTGTCAAAATGCTGGTCATTCTGCTGGGATCGGGACAAAAACCTTCCCTATTCGTAAAAGCATCTTTCACTTCTTTGATAAAATTTTCAAAGGTTTCTGGTGTCTTCTCAAATAAGATATTTAAGTACTCCAGATCCTGATTGCCCCATTGACTATGTGAATTATAGTTCCCTGATTCATTACTTGAAAGTGAGCTTCCTGAGCTAAATGAGTCTGTTTCTTGTTCAGCGTCACTCAAAGAAATGTAGTTGGAGTGAGGGGGTGGTGGATGTTTCTTTCTTGTTTGTAGTTCTGCCTTACTGGAGCCTAATGTTTCACTGTCCAGGACCTTTCAGACACAAAAAAAAATGCATATAACAAACTGTAAATACATGAGCATGACGAATGAGTAATCTTGCCCCTGCTTGAGGAAACATATTTGAAGACTTTTGTATTTTATTCCAACATCATCAAACTTTCATTCCCTTATTGTAACTGCACTAGTGTTGGATAATCAGAATTTTTTTTGTAATAATCAAAAAGTCCAAAATTTATCCTTATGAAAATCATTCATTTTGTATTGGACATGTTGTAAAACAATGACAACTTAGCATCCATGTATGTCTTAAAATTATTAGATTCCAACTATTATATGAAATGTTATAATTAATAGCCATATGCCTCTACCATATTGCTGCAAAGAAGTACAGCAAACATCAAGCCCTATGAAGCTGTTTCATTTTTAAGTTAAATTTTTATATATGTTTTTAATCATACTGAAAAAAAAATACTATAATCAACTTTTAGCAATCAACCTTCAATTGTCCGTGACATATCACTGGTAAGCACCCTTGCCCCAGGGGTGATAATTTCATCAAACTGGGGGTCCCAGGTTATCAATATGGTTTGTTCCCGTTTTGCACACATTTGAATTTCAGGTAATCTGCCTAATCTGCACTTTTTTTAGTATAGGAAATTTTATGTGAAGTATATACTGACAAAATTTACGGAGGGGGAAGCAACCCTATGCCCCCCTTTCCCCCTCCTTATTCCTAAGGGCCTATATTTATATATTAGGTCAGCAGTAGTGAAATACAACCACTAATTGTATATGGCAAATAGATATTTACAAGTATCATGTGTATTGAGCATGCATGCAAATTACTCATATGCAAAAATGCCCTTTTGTGCAATATTTTGCCTTTCATATATCTTTTTACAGAATTTTATATTATCAAATTGATGTTATAAATAAATAAAAAGCATATCATTCTTACCAAGTTTGGATTTTCATCTTCAAGATCACTAGCCTTCCTTTTCAGAGTTCTCTCAGTCAAGGTTTTAGGTCTGTTTAAGGCCATTTTTCTTTATCTTCAAAAATAAACTGCAAATCAATATACAATCATTAATGCCAATATAATAGTTATATACATGTATGCAACCTTTTGATGGATCATCCTATCATTTCTCAAAGTTCTTGATCTTTCAAAGTAATTGGTAATTGTGTAAAATAACTGCTATAAATTTTCTCTTTATGAAATAAATAAAGCATTTACTTCTTATCTCAGAAGTCTTTCAAAGTTTTTGATCTCTCCAAGTGTTATCTAAGTTACTCTGATGAGACCGTAGCTCCACTGGTCTCTAGGTATAACAAAGGAAAAGTAGCACTTGGATTTGAAACTTTGCAACATGCAGCAATAAATAGAATTATGTATCTTAATGTAATCTACTTGTATGCCAAGTTATATTGAAATCAAACGAAAACTGTAGGAGGAGTAGCGTTTTGAAGTATTTCACAGAAAGAACCACGCACGCTAACTTTCAAGTTATATTGAAATCAAACGAAAACTGTAGGAGGAGTAGCGTTTTGAAGTATTTCACAGAAAGAACCACGCATGCTAACTTTCGATTCCCACCTATATTTTGTACCCATTTCATTCCATATAAATGGCAGTTTAGCCATTAAAACTTGATTGAATGCAAAGAAGATTTAATTATTGATCATGTTGATTAATTAATAATTTTAAAACCAGTGTCAAAAACTTGATTGCTTTTATTTACAACTCTTTTTTAAAAGGGGGGTTGAAAATTTTGTCTGTTGAAATCAGGCTTTAAAAATCACTAGATTTTCAAAAATGCATGGAAATGGATAAATGACCCTTAAATCTTTCTGTATGTTTAACGTTTGTAAAACTCAACATAAGAGATTTATAAAAGACTTTTCTTTTATTTGTAATCTCATTTGAAATTGGTATTAAAATGACTAATTTTGCAGTTTTTTGTCTGTAAACATGCCCCCCCCCCCCCCCATGAAACAACGAAAGGTTTGGTAGGAATTATCTCTCTTTGCTTTCCCAAATAAGTTATGTTTTACAAAAATTCACATAAATATTTATATAAATATGAAAAATCATTCAAATATGTTAACTTTTGAAATTTGACTTGGAGGTAGGCGGCAGAACAATACTATCCTTCGCAGTTCTTTCTATTTTTAGTAACCATGGCAACACCATTCACTGAAATCAAAAACCGATATACACTATAACCCCATCCACGCCATACTGTCCAGATCAGATTTAATATGTTGTTTTCAGTGGAACATGCAAGGAGCCTAATAACTGACATCACATTAGCATCAAATGACGTCACAATGTAAACAATTGTTACGGAAAGGTTTGCTTAACACAGAGAAATGAGCTTTATTAAAAAATCTTTGACAGGATGAATTCATTATGTAGGCACTTAATGGGGTCATACGGAAATATATAGGGTCCTTGCTTATGCCTCACCCAATAAGCATTTTGTCAAGGACCCCATATATTTCCATATTACCCCTCTAAGTGTCTACATTACTAACAATGTGACATCACAGTCTAGATGTTCCAAATGTCTCCTGCAATTTGAAGGGGTGAATCTAAGTTAAAACTGAATAGGTATCCAATCCCCATCTGCGCTTGCCCCAATGTCAACATATTAGACTCTATTTTACATGTGTAATTCTTCACATTTTTCAAGTTGTCAATTTATTCTAATTGAAAAATTTCATACAAGTAAAATTTATCATGTTTATGTTCACTTGTCCGACAGAAGAAACCTTAATGTAGAGCCCTGAACTAAAGGATTATGTAAATTAAAAGAATCATATTGAAACGTAATAGAAACATAATAGAACACACCCATGAAATGGAATATAACCTGACACCCCTTTTGAAATAGATTGTTCTAAGGGTATATAAGTCAGTGCAGCGGGCAGCTAAAGAGAAGTCTGCAGAGAGAAGACAGAAAATGTAAGGTGCACGTAATTATTGAAGAAGTAAGAAATACGGCTAGGGTAGGAATTTGAATAAGCTCACCAGCAGGAGTGGTATTTGGGGAATTAATCTGGGAGTCAGGAGGTAGTAGGTCTTATTAGATTGAGGCGCCTGATTCTCTATATTAAAAGGAACCCTTATACCAAGAATACGCAGTGATGGGTTACCCAGTCACGCTAGTCATTGAAACAGAGCACCCGGTAAAACCTCTGATATTTTAATTGTCTTCTAATTACATGTATATATACAGAATCATTATACTCAGGAAAAGTTAAGGAAAATTATAAATGTCTATTCATTTTACTCAGACACAGTACAAGGAAAATCAGATATCCCTTATAAAGAACCTTGATTAAAATATGTTCAGATAAACACGTTACAGTATGATTGGTCTTTAAGGGCATTAGCCTCACCCAGCAATGCATTTGAATACTTTTAAGCAAAAAATGTATTTCCATTGTTTGAGTAACTGTACACTACCTTGTGTGCGTTGAGGCGTGGATAAGTATGATTGCTTTTCACTGTACTGAATTATTACCAATCAATTATCTTGTTGACCATCATTGGCCTCTTTTATAATTTCAATGAAGAAGTAACTGTATCAATTGCTTTATATAGCCCCAAAACTTTTAGAACTTTGAGTACAAAGTCTCTAAAGGAGACGTAATTTGATGAGTGATTTTTACATGATTATTTTCAGAAGAGTTTAAAGTTGAATATTATCACTGCACCAAGGTGCGACTTTTTGTGCATGCTGAGAAAATAACAAATTTAAGAAAAAAGTGTGATAAAATAGCTAAATCAAGCTATTCTGAATAGCTTAATAAAGCTATATAGCTAAACCAAGCTATATAGCTAAATCAAGAGATTGTGCCGACCTGATGAAGATAACTGTAATTGAAACATTTTAAGGATGACATAAGAAAATTTTATCAACTTATTACAATTTTCTGCATTTAGTATTACACATAGAGGTCATTCACCGGTGCATCGAAACGCCAAAATGTCGGGTTTCTGCCGAAATGTAAGTAGAATGCGCCGAAATGACTAGTGAAATACTGCAATGACTGTGGATATCAATTGATACGGATACTAATACCCCACAAACATAAACTTTTTGAGGTCAATCCTTACCCCTAAGGTTTTAGAGCCCATTTTATCGTAAATATTGGGGGAAACAATTATAGGTCATACTCATATTTCACAACTTGAGGAAAATATATCAAAGGGTAGTGCAAGTTTAAAGAAACTGGGGGGATAAGCCGAGCCATATGCCTACATAACGATCGATAAAAAATCAATAAATTCATTTTACAAAAATTTCACTTTTTGTTGAATTAATGTAATGCTTATTACCATTTGCATACAAATTTGACAAAACCTGAATACTGTAACAGCGAAAATGATTCTGATTAACAAAACAAAATGGCATCACGCTCAATTTTCACAGAAACTGACATAAATTGGATGATATAACTACATTTTTTAAATAGAGTGGGTCATCGTACCATTTTTTTGAGAACGATTAATGAAAGGCAATGGAAAGATGTTGCTTTTCACACTTGCAAAAATTTGGTATGAAGACCCACTCTACATAAAAAATTAAGTTAACTTACTTAAATTTTCACCGTGGTCTTAAAAAATTCTAAGTCCAAAAACGCTTGCTAAATATAGAGAACTGTATGCTATTTAGATAGACATGTAAGTGCGACTCCGTGGTCTAGTGGTTAGCGAGGAGCCCTTTAAAGGGACGTTTATTGAGGAAAGTGTTCGAGTCATACTCTGATTTTTTGATTTTTTTTTTTGATTTTTTTTTTTTTGGTTTTAATTTTGTTTTACTTTATAAAAAATGTCTTTTGGAATAACATATTTTTCACTGAAAATAAAATATATACATGTAGTAATGAACTTATTTACAGTAAATTATTTAATATGCCGGATAAAAATTATAATAGATATTTGAATACTTTTATTCCCGTTTTTATTTATTTTAAATAAAAGCTCTTCTAGATCACCATTATCATTATAAACGATGTTAACATTTTTATAATATCTCCACAATAAGTGTTAACACTCAATATACAGATTAATTAAATAGAAGTCCTTACCCATGTTAGACATTTGTGACAGTAAATGAAAGTCAACTGTTTAGCTTGTTTAGAATATAAATATCATTTTGAAAACTACGGTAAACATTAAAATGCTTAAGTAAATTCAAACAATTGAGAGATTTTTTCCAATAAATGTTCTTGCATAGCCGAAAAATGGGCATGGGCACATGGCTCGTCCTATCCCCCCAGATTCTTTTCCAAACAATTATGTAAGCAGGTGTTTCAGTCAAAGAGGGACAACTACTAAATCTTTAATTTACAGCCCTTGTTTTCAAAATGCAGTTGAATTTCTTCCAACCAAAGTTTACTTTCATTTACCAGCTTTGTTGCTTCACTTCACTTCATTATTTACCTCAATACAATTTATCAATTTATGACGAAGGCCGGGAAAGGCTCTGGAAGATTCCAACCGAACCTGCTGCAAAAAATCATTGCGCTAGATTTCTTTTATCTTAAAACTGATTATTTATATTATAGAAATGTCTTTGAGCAGACTGTTGAAGCAGGTTCAATGTGAAGATTTTCAAAACAATGGATGGAGACATGCACATTGTACGCAGAGACATGCTTCTGATGTTGTATACCTTGTTTTCCACACACACACAAATACGAATCATATAAACGAACCCTTTGAAAAAGATAACCATCCTTACCTTGACATAATCAAATGTTTTTGTCTGAAGACCAAAGAGTTATAAGATTCTTCTACTTTACTCGTCCATTAGTCAGCCCTTGGTTGTTGTGAGAATTAGGGAATTTCAAACCCGATCTTTATATAATTTCTTTAATTTTTTTTTTCTTTCTTGAATAGTTTTGTAGTTTTTTTTTTAATGCTATTGGTATGTAAGTCAAAAGAATTGCCATGTAGGTATATTTATGAAGTGCAATATTACACAATAGTCCCAACTTCCTCTCAGTCTGTCTAAAATGATCCAAATGGAAAATAATGTAGTATCTGTGCGACTGTCCCGTGGTACGACTTACTGTCTGTATTACTTCAGACGGCGGGACAGTCGCACGGACCTCTTCTACACGTGGATGCCGAGTTGACAGGACGTGTCAGGGACAGCAGCGGAGCAAGGAGTCGGCCCGGGCCAGAACCTACGGATCTGTATATATTGTTAATAAATATTAGTAAAGAACCTCAAAAGACTTTACTGGCGCCCAACTCGCGGGGCCCGGGAGATTCCCGTACTGCTGTCAAAGTTG